GATGGCACAACAGGTAATATTTCAGATTTCAAGACTATATCCCACCGGGGATCTTAAACCACTGTTTTGTACGCGCGTGTGCGCCTAGCGCGAGATTTAATGCAAACAGAAAGTTTTTTTTTTGGGGGGGGGGTTAGGGGGGATCAAGCCATGCTTGCACGGAATCCTATTGGACCCCTTCGGAAATTTTCTGCGCTCCTCGTAGGCGATGCTCTGCTCTGATGGGTAATTTAGGCTAGATTTACTTTACGGTTCCTAGCATTTGTGGAAAGCACCTATTGCTAATCTGGTTTATTAAATTCGCGTGGTTTAAATCCTCTTAGCGTCCCTACATCTGTTAGAACAATCGACGCCTCGCTACAGGGACAAATAACTTGAACCTTAATCTTGTTTGTAACTTCATTCAATGTTTGTTTGTTTGTGCGCTGAGTTCAAGTATTTTTGGACGATGCCATGGGGTTTGGAATCGCATGGGGCTACATTTGCAGGCAAAACTCCCCACGGACGGGCTAAGGGTATCGTGGAACAGGATGAAAAATTTTGCGTATTTGAACTGGCATTTTATCTCTTACTACCATTCTAGGAAATGTGTCATATTTAAGGAAGAAAGCAATCCGCCTGGTAAAATGGGGCTGCGGGATTACATCATCATGACCCCACAGTAAAATCCACGGGAATTTTTCTTTTTGTTTGGCTTGCGAGGCGAAGTGTGGGGTGTAAATAGTACCTTTTCCTTTTTATAGTCGGGATTATGCCACGGTTCAAACCCCTACCCCCAAACCCGCTCTTTACCACACTTTCCTTTGCCTTTACGGTTGGTTCTTACAACTCGAGTCACTTTTTATTCGCCTCAACCCACTTTGATTCGCCTCCGACTTCCCGCAGCTGCGGGACTTTCGAGGTCCCATCTCGGGTGCCCCTGTGAAATCCCGCACATTTTAGCTTCTGCAGAGCACCGGGTTCATTTAGCTCCTCGCCCTCGTCCCCCCGTCCCTCCCCCGCCTGCCAACAGTGTACTTCGCTTTTCAGCAATCTATTATTTTTTTTTTTTCCCCGAAAATCTTTCCAGCCCAGAAAGTCAATGGTAGCCCATCAGGGTGAACTTTTCTTGACCTCGACTGCGGTATGACTGAGATCTTTGGGAGCTGGATTAGGAGGAGGTTCATTTACTTACCTGTTAACTTCCCTTTTAACTCTCTTTCTTCCAACCCTCCCCCCCCGCCTTTTTTTTTTTTAAAGGAAAAA